TCTCGTTTGTGCTGTTTTACTTTGCCAACCTCGCGTTCCCGTTGCCGAATCTGGGCGAGTTTGATGAGAAGGATAAGTACGGGACGTTCACCGCGGAGGAGGCGGCTAAGTTGGGTGTCGTGCCGACTGACTCTGCCACTGCTAGTGGGTTTGGCAAGGAGGAGGGGATCGACACTCGAGTGAATGAGATTTCGGATGAGAGCTCAGTTGGGGAGAGAAAGTGGTGGAACTTCAGACGCCGGTGAACAAGTTGCGAAACTGGATCATTGGGAGCGGCCAGTTGAGTTCCTTCTGCAAGTGACTCTTCAGATGTGAGAATTGCACAAAAGTACTAGTATTGACTAGAATTATACACTACTTCCTATCTGACAAACATTCACAAGCCTCCATCATAGACCGTCGATCTATCCCCACTGTCAACAAAGTCAATGCGTAGTCTTCGCATCAACCGGAATCTTGAACCCAGTGGTCCTCAGCTTCTGAAAAACGCCATCTGGATCCACCCTCTTGGCGACATCCTTCAGAAACGCCACATTCTTCTCACCGTACGTGGCAATCGGGTTCTGGTCGCCCCAAGCATAGTTGAGGTACCTCCAGTCCTTGAACACGCCAATGAACTTGGCATACGCATCAATACTCTCGCGGAACTTGAGAATGAATGGGAGCATCTTGTCTTGCAGCTCAAGGGTGTCACAGGTCAGCACAAGCAGCCAGTTGCTCGTCGGCCCATCAGCCACCACGTCCTCGAGGCCGAGGATGTTGCCCCCGTTGGCCTGGCCGTGCTTGACCATGGACTGCGTGAATGGCTGAAACTGTCCGAGAACGTCGTACGTTACGCTCTTGTTCGTCTTTTTTGCCATCTCTTCGGTTACGGGGTCCAAGTAGTGCTTGCCGAGCATCTGCAGCTCGTCGTATACGAAATTGATCATGCGGACATCGTTTCGAAATTGGCCAACGAACCAGTTAGCACTGAGAAAAGGAGGTCAGTACGGATTCGACAGCGAAAATAATGTCAAGTTTGTACTTACTACAGGCCCAGTGGCGTAGGACCAGTGAACTCGGGAACCATCTCCGCAACGGCTGCGACTCGGGAAGTGTTGCTCGTGACATTGATCTTCTCGTACTCGCTGAAGGCAGGAGCATTGTCGACGCCGGCGCTGTTGGTCAAGATTGCCCGGAGTCCAATAGTCCGGTGAGTCCCGTACGACATTCCCACGATGTTCTGACTAGCAGGATCCTGGTCCATCTTATCGGCGAAGTTGAGGTAGGCGCGGAAGAGTTTGTTCCTGTTGGTCTCGTCGTACTCCCGGAGACCTCCCCACATATCGATGGAGTTGACAACTTCTGTGAGAGGTGTCAGTGTCTGCATATCCTAAGGGTTGCCTCGTCATAGACTCACTTTGGTCAATTCTGGTGACGAAACCCAAGTTGCCGGAGCCGCCCTTCTGAGCCTTAAACAGGTCTGGGTTGGATGTCGCATTGGCGTTGACCACGGTGCCATTGGCGAGAACGATCTCGAAGTTGGTCACCGTATCGCATGCGAAGCCATGCGCATTGGTGTGGAAGGAGTACTGCAAAGGTGTTTAGCCATGGACTTCAGACATAAAAGCCAACAGGCCTCGAAAGAACGGAAGATCTTACACCGCCGCCAGTTACAAACCCTCCAACACCAACGACCGAGGCTCGACCACCAACTGTAGTCACATTCTCACCCTTGAGCAGAGTGAAGACCTTTTCCCAAGTCGAACCAGGATTGATCGAAGCAACCTCGGTCACATTGTTGTAGGTTGTCGTATTCAAGTTGCCTAGATACGGTATTAACCAAAGCCCAGGGTATCACCAGCATAACTGAGTACTTACCAAAGTCGACAGTGATCCCATCCTTCGCGCCATTAGCCCCCTTGAAGGCAGAATGCGCACCGCTCCGAATACCAAACGGACACTGGTGTTCAGAGATAACCTTGGCGATGCGCGAAACATCGGATGTGCTCGTCGGGAGAACCATGCACCAAGCGGCTTGTGCCGCGTTGGCAGAGTAGTACGACTGCAGCCGCTTGTCGTACGTCTCCGTGTCGGGCATCAACACCTTGCCCTCGAGTTCAGGGTCCTTGGCGAGAGCGGAACACTGCTCCGGTTGTCAGCAACATGTCAAATCCCGACAATGCCACGTGAAAAGAAAGATTGGAGCGTAGGATGGTGTGGTGTGGTGGTGGTGAGACTGACGCAAACGCATTTTGGGCTGCGGCCGCCGGTGATGTCGACACTCAATGCCGCTGGAACGAGCAGGGCCAGGATGGCTTGGCCTACGGTGAACTTCATGGCTTCCGAGCTCGAGCCGGACTGACTCTTGCCACGCGTGAAAGAGGGGTCTGGGGATGAATAAGGTTGGGCAAGGGTCAGGGAGGAGACAAAGATTTGCGGAGGAGGCCGGAGTAATCGGACAGGAGAGTGTGGTGTTCCAGAAAAGTTCTGCCGTCTGGATGATGGACTGGGAAGGGATGGCCAGGATGCTATTTCGCGAAACCGAAGAGATGTACGTGATCTTTTATATTCAATTCAAATCTCTTTTCCGGTGCGTTGAACGACTTACCTCTCTCGTCGTTATCGAAGGCGATACCACCCAACATGTCCCCGACTGGCTCCAACAAGACCCCAAGAATTGCGGTGCGACCACCCTCACCCCCAAAAAGACCCCAAACCAAGGACGTGGAGTCCAAATCTCATCAATATCACTTCGAAATACGCCCGTAGGATCTGCACGTGCCCACATGGGGTGGCGGTTCAGTCTCAAACCGCCTCTGGGGGTTTGCCGCCTCTCTCGAACGATGCGGGCGGGTGGATAGGCATCCGTCCGCTGAGTTGTTTAAGCTCGCGAAATCCCGTGGAGTGATCTCCTGCTCCAAGTGGATAAAAGAAAAAACAAGACATCCAAGAGACTTCGTTTCGCTCTAGTTCTTGTCATGGAGGGGAAGGCCTGGCCACTATCAATGTCGACTTGGGCATGGTCGTCGGTACTCTGCATGGCTGACGGCGCTTGGTATGGATCGCTCCATGGAACTATGCATTGGCGAAAGCACTGCAACTGCACGATGCAAGGTCCTACATCCGTTTCACAGACTTGCAGACTGTCAGATTGAACAGTTGATGATCGACAACGAGTCATGAATGACAACTCTTCCGATGCTTAGAGAAGTTGGTTAATTGAAACACTTCTTCAATACCTCCAACTACCAAATACCGTTAGCGTTGATGGGGTTGCAAAGACAACCTCTCTTTTAGTTTCCAAGAGGATCTGCAACTGCCGTGTCTCTCATTTTCAACCTGGTCTCGTCTTGTGCTTTTGGTTCTCCCAATCGCTGTGGAATGCCCAGCCGGTAGTCAGATAATCGTTTCTTGACTCCCCCACCCCCATGCGACCCTGCTTTCTTTTGAGGGCTGTAGCGCTTACTGTCCGCCAGGTCAATCGCAATCAGCCGCTTCGTCACCCAGCGCGCACCGGATTGGTCGCGGAGATCTTGTGTTGCATATCCAGCGTCCGGGTAGTTGCACCGCACCGCCTTCGTCACACGTCGATACCCGGGGACTCGTCAGGGTCACACCGCTTTGTCCGTGCAAAACTGCGGACGTAAGAAGGCGCGACATCCCGTCAGCTGCGAATACGATATCCAATAGACACGGTGTTTGCGCCAGGGGAAGAGGAACTGAACATTGACATGGTTGATGAATCTGCAGCAGTAGCTCCCCAGCCAGAAAAACTGACATTCTCATTTGAGAAGTGACCATCGTTGATCTTGGACTGATCCAACTGATGATATTGACAGTGGTGATGTGGCGGGCCGGTACTATTGACGCAGGTATTCATATATCCATGCAGCTCGGCACATCGCCATTCTTTCGTCTCAACCTGACTGACAGGTGGGTGCTGCATCTGTGCGAGGAACAGCCAAGATTTGTGGCAGGCAGACATGCTGCTCGAACTGCCCCGTCGATTGTTCGTCTCAGTAGCAGGGATGTTCTACGATCGCGTCTGAATTAAGCTCCGTCATTGAACTCCGGTCAAAACGAAGGCTAAAACTTCGTATGGGGGCCCGGCGGGTTCGTACAGGAATACGCTGGGCTCATGTTCCCACCGCGGCGACTTACCGTCGTACCCCGCGCGCGGGCGTTGCGGGACCGCACACGATTCCTCTTTTGAGTTTCGACTTGGCTCTCGTCTTCAAACAAGCTCATCTCATAGTTCCCCCTCGCTTCCCAGGAAAACACGCGCCCGTGTTCACCGGGGAGCCCCAGAACACGGAACGATGAAAGAAACACACCAAACCTTATCCCGAGTCCGGACAGAATCGTCAGAGCCAATCACAGAGGCCTCGGGCACCAATCAGACACCCTCACAGAGTTTGCATTGGAATTTCCACGAATGATTGAGCTGCTTGGGAAACTCATTGTTTAGACTGGAAGGCGGTCTGTCGTCCGTGAACGAAACTGTAGCCTCTCTTGGGAAGGACAACGAGGGCCACGACACGTGCGCCAAGACTTTTGATCTGAGTTATGTGAACTCTAAGCAGAGCTTGGATAGGGTCAGGGCGTCTTGAATCAGGTATTCTATACAGAATTAAATATGGTGAATCATATGCAATGTTTTGTTGTATGGTGTAAACAAGTGCCGAAGGGCAAATCGTCTGGTAGCTCATGGGATAAAATCAGTAGCAAATGGGGGATCCAAACTGACGTCTAAACAATTGGCAAACTTCTGCTCGGCCGTTTTCCTCGTAAGGTTGCCGGCAAGGGACTACGACTGGATGAATCAGTCTCACGGCAGCTTTTAACCCTCCGAGTTGCCCATCAAGTGGGGACTAGACCGAGGCCTTGGGGCAGCCCAAGAAACTTTCACCGATGGAGGATGCACTGGCCAACCGCATCCCACAAGATATAGACTCATACTCGCCTCCGCACCTTAGAAGAGTTGGGGAATGGCAGGCCATGTTTTCAATGCAAACACCATGTCCGAGTTTCCGGTCACGAATGGCACCGTGACCCTCTTGAAGCCGCCGGATGGCTACGTGGTCGACTTCGACCACCCGCAGCAGCAGCTCGTGCTGGAACACTACTTGGTGTTCGGAATCGGCGGTCCGATCGCACTCATCGCGTTGCTACAGAGACTCTACACAAAGATATGGCTGTCAAACGGCTTCCAGGTGGACGATGGTGAGTGTGTGCGGGGTCATGTGCGCATGTGAAAGTTTAGCTGGATCGCGCGGAACGAATCAAGAACATCATTATGAGATATGTGATGAAGAATGAATTGCTGACGAGGTACGCAGCATTTATGTGTCTTTCTTGGGTGAGTTGTGCTCCGCAGACATTTTGGGAGCTCAGGTTGTTGATGGTACCCGACAGATGGCATCTGTGACTATTCAGGCGGCATACGTCGGTAAGTCATGATGTTTTTCAACGACCAGAACTGCTAATTAAGATGATGATATCAGGTTCGATAGCTGCTGGCGGCATGTGTGCTCACGCATGGGAGATGCAATTATCGCGCTTCCAAACATACTTCGCGGTGAGAAAAGCCCGCGCAACGACCTGCGACTATATGTGAACAAGGTAGCTGATGCGACACCAGATAACCTACGTCGCTGGCCCTCTATTCGTGCTTTGTAATGGATTCGCCAAATTGTCGCTTCTCGTACTCTACCTTCAACTTTCTCCGCAGAAAAAGTATCGTGCTGCAGTCTGGGCCTCGATATTATTCGTTGCCACCACCACGGCGGGTGTCGCATTCGTCATGATCGTTCGGTGCCAACCCATACGAAAGGGGTTTGATATCAAGATATCTGGGGGCACCTGTATCGACGCCGATCCGCTCTACATGTCGAACTCCATCGCAAATATTGTCACCGACATTATGCTGTTCGTTTTGCCGATCCCGATGATATGCAGTCTCCGGATGGGAATGGCCCAGAAGATGGGGGCCATGGGTATGTTTGCAGTTGGATCCATGTGAGTAGATTTCAGCGGTGCGTTTAGTTAGATTTGATGGCTTAAACATCACAGGACGATATCGACTTCCATCATCAAATTAGTGCTCCTGCCACAACTTCTCAGAAGCAGCGACCCGTCGTGGGATAGTGCTCCCGCTAACGTTTGGAGGTGCGTTCTTGCACTATTCTGATAACATCTATGCGTGCTAACACTGGAACAAACAGCTTTGTCGAAACAAACCTCTTCATCATCTGCGGCTCCATGCCGACGCTGAGAAAGTTCTTCCAGCACTTCACCCCTAGACTGTTACTGCGGAGCGACACTTCCTCCATCTCTACCCGGAAACCGTACTTGATTCACGTAACCGACCCCAGCCAGCCGTCAAGAGCAGGAACGACTGACTCAGATATTATGAGCCCCCAGCAATTGTATCACGAAGAACTATTCAGAGGATATCAGGGACACCAAAGCTTATTAGATTTCAGGGAAGTGGCAATGGTGCCAGAATCCCCTCCTCTTTCCCGGCAAAGACCGATTATTCCAAAGAGTCTGGTATAGGCTCGTATGAGCCACGGATGAAATACAACATTCCAAAGCAGAGTTATTAGACTTCTTAGAGCGACGCTATGATACCCCTCTCATTATTTACCAATAATAATGCTTTGTTTTCATATATCCTCGTCTCATTTCAGCCTCGACCCGAAGTCTTCGTGCTGCTAAATACTGCAATTTGATCTATCAGTGAATGAGCGCAGGGCGACGAATGCATGGACCGGAATTTGTTTCGATACATTAAGTTTCACCAAGCAAGTCCAGAGATGCAGATGCGGGGTGTAGCATGATTGTGGGGACGCTTGATACCGGACGATCGCGCGCTTCCCGTGGACACCGACTGGTGTATAGAGGATCACATTTGTGTCCATTTACAGTAGTTTAGAACCTACGATATGCGACTCAGGGAGACTGACTACAGTCATGTTGTCTTTCCGGAATCAACTCCCTGTCCGGGCACTTTTGTTTACACTGCGTCAGAATCCCTTGCCGCGACATGGGTCATTCCCGCAACATAGGTCGTTCCCGCGGCCTCAGTTAACATGTCGGAAAATTGTCGCCCAGAGCCTCACTCCCGCCGGCGATTGGGAACTGGGCTATGCTTGAAAATATTTATTGTAGAAAATTCGAACAAACAATTCACCCAAGAACCAACTCGCCGTGTGCCGTGCTCGGCATATGCTGGTGACGTAAAGTTGAGGGGCTCTATCGACCCATACAGGCATGTTACGCCCCGCCGAAAGGGGTAATCTGAAGCGCTCGCTTCCGCCGTCGGTGGTTACAGTGAAAGGCACACGTCGTATTTGAATGCGCTTTCGCTATTTAAAAACATCAATCACAATTGCTGAGCGTGAGAAGATCAAGAGGAGACTATCATTTCATTGAACATCATGGTCTTGCCGCGGACTCTGACAACGGCAGCCGTGTTGCTGTCCTGGGTGGGCTCAACCCTGGCCGCCGAGAAGTGCACGGCCGCAACTCCCGACAAGCCCCGCGTTTTCCTCCTCAGCGACATCGCCAACGAGCCCGACGACGCGCAGTCTCTGGTGCGACTGCTCGTCTACTCCAATGAGCTCCGCGTGGAAGGCCTTGTGGCCACGACGAGCGTGTGGCTGAACGACACCACCCGCCCAGATCAGATGCACAACATCGTCAACGCCTACGAGGAGGTGCTGCCCAACCTGGAGAAGCATGCATCCGGGTGGCCTGAAGCCAGCTATCTGAGGGGCCTCATCACTTCTGGACTGCCTGTGTACGGTATGGATGGCGTCGGCGAGGGCAAGGACAGCGACGGTTCCGAGAGGCTGGTGAAAGCGGTCGATGCCTCGGACGAACCCCTCTGGGTTCCGGTTTGGGGTGGTGCGTCCGTCCTCGCTCAGGCTCTGTGGCATGTCAACGCGACGAGGTCACAAGATGATATTGACAAGTTTGTCTCCAAGTTGCGCGCCTACAGCATCTCCGACCAGGACAACACGGGCTCCTGGATCCGGAGAAACTTCCCACAGCTCTTCTTCATCGCCAGCATCCACCACTTCAACCGCTACGCCCTGGCTGCTTGGGGAGGAATCTCGGGCGAGGAGTACTACAACTTCCCTAGTCTCGCCAGCAAGGATGTTGTGTCGGCCGATTGGATCAAGGAGAACATTCAAAGCGTCAGTGCCCTGGGCGGGAAGTATCCCGACGCCGACTTCATCGTCGAGGGAGACACGCCTTCTTTGTTGTACCTGATCCCCAACGGCCTCTCGGATCCCGAGCGCCCTGAATGGGGTTCATGGGGAGGCCGCTACGGCCCGGTGACATATGGCGAGGGTCACTTTGCGGACAGCGTGGACGTCATCAAGGACTCGGGCAAGACCATCATGAGCGCCCAGGCGACTGTGTGGAGGTGGCGCGAGGCGTTCCAGAACGACTTCGCTGCTCGCATGAAGTGGAGCGGCAGCTCCGAGTTCTCCAAGGCCCCTCACGCTCCAGTTGTCGTACTCAACGGGGACAAGTCTCGCAGGGTCGTGAAGATGATCGTGAAGGAGGAGCAGGAGATTGGGCTAGATGCGAGGGAGTCGTGCGATCCGGACGGAGGAGACCTAACCTACAAGTGGTGGCAGTACCTGGAGCCTTCTTCCAACAACAACAGCCCCGGACGGGATGTCGGTAGGCTTGAGCTCAGCGATACGACCTCGCCCATCATCACCGTCACCATGCCGTCGAAGGAAGTCCTCCGCGCCGAGGGCCGTAATCGCCACCCCAACGATGACAAACACTTGCACCTCATCCTCGAGGTCTCGGACGGCGCCTTGGTCTCATACCGCCGCATCGTCTTCACCATCCCAGGGCCCAAGCCTGGCGACGCGACTTCGACGGCTGCGAAGGCCGCTGAGAAGACTGAAGCTCATGATGAATTGTGAAAAAGGATATCTTGCCGTAGAAACCATACATGTACCAGAGCCGCTGTACCCCCAGAAGTCTTGTAATACAGGCTATGCAGTAGCTGAAGAAGAAGAAACAAAAGTCTATGCCTTTTCATGCAAATGCAACCGATGACCGCCCCGCCTCCGCCAACCCCTGTCATGACAGGAAAAACGTGAGAAACATGTTCCACGCGAAGCCGACCGTCATCCCGACCAGCGCCCTGTATCCGACAGGCACAAAGCAGAAGTTGCAAAATGCCACCAGCGGCCACAGTTTCCACGCCGCCTTGATCAAGTCGAAGATCCTCTCGCTCCAGATCTGGTATGTGATGGTCGCGCTCCCCGTTCTCAGCGCCGACGTGATGATGAGAAAGGCCGAGTTCATCATGAACAGACCCAGCGTCTGGTCGACCACGACCTTGCGCGCGACATTGAAGTAGTTCTTCCCTGCAGGTGGTTGCTGTCCGCCGACGACGAGCAGTTCCGGCTTGTCCGGCTTCTCCTCCCCCTTTTCGATAGACGATGATGATGACGCCGCCGCTTTGGCCGCTGCCTTGCTCGCCGAGTTGGGAAATTGGTCCTCGAGGAAATGCTGCCACCAGTAGTTCATGTGCCCCTGGATGAAGCCGAACGTCGCGAACTCGAAGATGCGCCGGACGTCGAGCGGCACGGCGCCGCCCTGCCGGTGCTGGTTGACGATCTGGGCTGTGAAGTTGGCGGACGCTTTGAGAGTTGCCGATTGTAACGCCGTGGCGAGGAGGCCGGGCATTGTGGGCGCGAGAAGGGGGGCGAAAAAAGCAAACCAGCAGGCTATTGCGAATGAGAGTGACTGAGGGGTGGCTGGCACTTTATTCCCCCTGTTGAATACTATTGAAGGGTGTGGTGTGGCTTGATATCCGAGTTAAGGGGGGCTGCGCTGGTGATGGTCGTCGTTGTCGGCGTTTGAAGATGCGGTGTGTTTTAATTGGGACCACGTTGTAACAAAGCTCGGGCGAGGCACTGTCAGCGGCGGCCGATATCGTGCTAATTTCCGGCCCCCTCGGCAAGCCCTGCCAATCTCCATATTAAACAGGAAGGAATAGCCACCCTTGTCTCACAGGATCCGAGCGAACACTGCAGACAAAGCGGGTTTTAGGGGGCTTTGGGGGGCTTAAGTTCATGCATGGGGCCTTTGTTAGGTTGTCTCTGCGCTGAAATGGGAACCAACAAGCAAAACGCCAGCCAAGAGACACATAATTTGATGGAGTTGGAATTCAATGTCTTGGCCACATTTGGAGTCGATTGAAAGTCTCTCTGCGTAGAAAAAGGGACAACTGATTCAATGGTTCATTTTGATCGATCTGCTGAGAACTCATGCCATTAATCAATTGAAATGTTGAAAGAGGCTTAACTGTAGTGCCACCAACATGTCCGCGCTGAACATGGATGCAAGCCCTCCCTTAATTAACAGATAGACTATTCAATTGTTCAGAGATAGCAGAGAGCTCAACAGACAGTAATCCCCCTATCGCCGTGAAAAGCTTTGTTTTCTCTACCCATGGGGGTGGAAAGATTCATTTTTATTCGTTGCGCTGCATCGAATTGAGGGTGGTGATAATCGAACCTTCCATAGCTACACGCTCATTAGAAGATGATAACTGTTAGAACTTCCCGACGCATGATATGCCTCCAAAGCTTGGTGGTTCCCTTCAGGCATTGATCTTTAGTTGGAACAACAACATCCCGCTCTACGCATCCTCCTCCTGCTCAAGCTCCATCTTCTTGGCACCCTTATCCTCCGCCATGGTGATCTGGGCACCCAGGCCAGTCGACACGTACTTCTTGAACTCTCTAGTCTTAACATTGGCCTGGAACATCTCATCCAGCTCCTCAAGCGAGCGGTTCTTCGTCTCGGGGACCATCAGGAACACCCAGATGGCTGCGACAACCGAGAAGGCACCGTAAATGAATGTGACACCACCGCCAAGCTTAGCCTGAACGTAGGGGTTGACGAAGTTGATCGGTACCGACGTGAGGAAACTGCCCATTGAAGCGAGGAACAGAGTCTTTTCTCTGAGCTGGCCGGTGCCGATTTCTCCGGCGACAACCCAGCAGCCAGGGCCCCAGGTGATTCCGTAGATCGAGTACCTATTTTCCGGTCAATCAGAATATTCTGCAACTTTCGGCAGAGAAAGCATCGCTTACCAAAGGATAAGCAGAGCGGCGGCAGCATTGGCAACCGCCGAAGAATAGTGACCAGCAGACCCAGTTGCAGTCGCGGCGCCAGTACCAAGCATCATGCCAGCAAGCAGCACCGCGCCCAGAGAAAGCGATCGTCGACGGCCAAGCTTATCAAAAGTCAAGAATGTGATGAAGTGCACCGCGAAACCGCATCCGGTGACCATAACGTTCGTTCGCAGGGAGTCGGGGAATCCAAGCTGCTGCATGAAGGTGACGATGAAGTTCTGGATGAACGAGACACCCTGCGCCTGCTGGAGAATCTGCACGCTCATAGCAATGATTGTACGACGCAGATTTACGCCCTTGAAGCAGTCCTTCAGAGATGTGGCCTTGTGCAGCTCGCGCTGCTCCTCGACTTGGATTTTGAGGAGCTGGACCTCTTGTGCGATCGTCTCGGGGTGGTTCGAAAGCTTCTTGAGAACCTCCTCGGCTTCTTCGTATTTTCCGCGGTAGATGAGGTACCGGGGAGATTCCGGCATCAATGGGTACATGACGACGTAGCCCAATGGGACGAAGAGCTGGCACAAGATCACAATTCTGTATTGTTAATTAGCAACTGATGGCAGTCGTTGAGTCCGTATGAATACTAACAGGTACTGCCATTGATCATTCCTAGTGCGCGACAAATAGACTGCAATCGCAGCCATGAAGACACCGAAAGAGAGGAAGAAGCTGTAGAGTGCCAGGAAGGCACCTGTCTACCGTCAGTTCGGTATCTTTTGCTTTCATCGGCTATCAACTTACCTCGAATCCTCGGAGGAGAGCACTCAGACAGGTACATGGGCGTCAGGTTCGATGCCAGTCCCATGCCCGCATAGACCATAATTCTCCCAACCACCAATTGCCAGAAGGACGTAACTGCAGACGACTCAAGCACAACGCCAGTGCCCATCAGAGCAGAGATGACCAAGAAGGACTTCTTGCGACCGAACCTCGAAGTGACAAAGGGCGCGAGGATGCATCCGATGATGATACCAGCCGAGCCCGTTCCCGTTCCGACAGACGTCTTCGTAGCGGGGATCGCGTACCGGCCGAGAGCGTCGTCATATTCGCCGTACTTCTTTTGGAACTGCGATAGACCAAGTGCACCTCCCCACCAGCCTGACAATGTCAGCTTCTTGGTTTCAAGCAACACTTTGTTTCAACTTACCATTGTCGAAGCCGAACCCCATTGCGCCGAGGTTGGCAACGCAGCCGATGAGCATCAGGCGCCAGTTGAGGTCTTGATAGAGGGGATCATTCTTGATTCGGGCCAACATCTTGCCTGTCGAGTTCAAAGGCTATCAAAAACAAACGGGCCTTATCGCGCGTGTAGAAAATATCATGAAAGTTGGCATCATGAAGTCTTATATGGATTGAACGTCGCGTCGGAACAACACGGATTGACCCAGTTTCCCCAGCTTTCTCACTGCGGGGCCCCAAACCAGCTGATTGCTGCTTTCTGGGGTTTATCAGACGACCTTCATAGCGATGTGAAAATTCGAACTGCCGAATGAGGCAAGTTTAAACACCTTGCCCGGTCGCGGAGGCTGGTAAGACCCGAGGTATGTTGGTTGACATGGCGCAACGTCCATGTTGTTTTTGAATGGTCGTGCGGAGTAGATGCGGAGAGTCCCCGGCGGCTGCCATAAGGCCCTGTAAGCTTGTTACGACGATTTGACAGTCGAGAGCGTGAGTGGTGCTTAACGTTTCCTTGTTCAGATGTGATCGACACCATTTCCGTTGAGCGCATGCACAAGAATGACGCCAGATTCTGCCAGTCGTGGATTTACGAGGTTAGCCAACATCTTTTCCCGCGCGGAGGCTGTTGAAAGATGCAACTCTGTGGTCTCAGCGACCACTGTGAAGCTTGAAATGATTCAAGGATCCACCGCAAGTGGGAGATTTAGGCATCGGCCCGAGATGACCGACACTAAATCCACCATGTCCACAGACTTGATGACGATGATTGGTTCAACTCGATGGATAATACATGAAACCCCCACAATGGAAAGAGACCCGAAGACGGAAGCGAAGCAGGCTGATTTAGTGGCAGCAACCTTTTATTCTGACTAGCAAAACTCATGTTCGATCTCCAGCCAGACGTTTGCTCCCCATCACAAAGAATGATCCGCTCAGTATTTTTGTAGCCTCTTGATGCGACCGAGCACCACCAAGAGCTAAAAAGGAATATGCACAATGGCTTCGGAGCCAAAAAAGGAATAATGTACTAATGAAATGAAGACACAGCCCGATTCGCGTATCCCCACGCTTAGCAGATGTTCCTCGCGCCGTTGCCGGTGAGGGTCCAGTTGGTGTTCTCACCACAGGGCGACTCGCGAACGGTGGTGCCGTCGACCTTGAGGGTGATCCAGATGTCGCGGTTGTTGGGGAACTCAGAGCGCGCAGCAAGACGGACCTCACCGCCGCCGTTGACGGTGCCGCCGCGGATGGAGAGGTTGTAGCAGTTCTCGATAAGGATGGCGTTGTTGCCGTTGCTGGCGAGGTCGACGGACGTGATGACGGCAGCGCCGGACTGCGAGACGCAGAAGACGCCACGGCCGCCGCCGCGGGAGACGACCTTGTCGATGTAGACGTTGGTGTTGTAGTTGCCGTTGGGGTTCTGGCCGTTGTTGTTCGCGAAGCGCAGGGTGCCGTAGCCGGTGCCGGCGCCGACGTTGTTGCCGTCGACGAGGCCGACGCGCGCGTTGGTCGTCTTCTGGAGCAGCAGTCCGGACTCGCCGACGTTGCGGGCGATGACCTGGTCGATGGTCAGGCCGTCAATGTTCCAGGTCTCGACGGCGTGGCTGCCGGCGCCGGTGACGCGGATGACGCCCATCTTGACGTTGGAGTTGGCGGCCAAGTCACGGTCGAAGCGGATGCCGAGGCCGCCGCTGAGGTTCATCGTGATTGCGCCAAGGGTCAGATCCTTTGTTCCGCTGAAGCGCAGTCCGAAGTACGGGTTGCCCGTCATCGTGAGGTAGGGGATCTGGACGCCCTGGGTGTTTGTAGACTCGATAGCGCCGCGGCCGGAGCGAGTGGCAACGTTGATGGTGCCGCAGCCCTCGAAGATCTTGCCGCTCGCGATGGTGATGGTGTTGGCGCCGATGGAGCCCGAGGCGATAACGGAGACGCGCTGGCCGGAGGAGATGGAGTCGAGGGCGGCTTGGATGGCGGCGCGGTAGTCGGAGCCAGTGTAGACGTTGCTCGAGCCCTTGGTGGCCGTGAAGGAGCTTCCGGAGCCGGTGACGCGGGCGTCCGGGGTGCCGGAGCCGCACTGGGCGGTGACGGAGGAGGCGAGCGCCAGCACCGCCGTGAGAATGGAAAACTTGGCCATTGTATTAGTAATTCCAGACGGCTGAAAGGTAAGGGGGTGTGAACGATCGCGGGTGATGATCTTTCTGCCCACTTCCGGAAAACGACACGGCGGCTTGTTTATATCATTTTGCGATCTAGTGGAGACGGCGAAGACGCACAAATGTCTTCCCCAGATGCGCACCAGTCTCAGCAGATGCGCCCGTAAGAAGCGCTTTCGTTGGAGGACGAAATTGGGCCGGCCCCTTGAACCGGCAATGCATCCTCCGCATTCATTTACCACGAGCTTGGGCGCGGCTCGGCGCTGCTCACCGTGGGCTCCGGACCACCCGGGGTTGCTTAGGTGTTCACGAGCTGTACGCCAGTCTAGGGCGCCCAGGTCGGTCGAGTGCTACACGAATGGAACTTTGACAGGGGCAAACAGACAGATGAGCTGCTAGTTCGTTCTTGGTGGCTTGCTTACTCTAAATTCTTGACCTTCCTGATTCATGCCTTTGAAACTTCCGTACCTTGGCTCACATGTTGACTCTTGGCATTACACCAGTTTGGGGGCTTGGCATCGCTCATTGGCAGTCCAGCGCGCATGTTTGATTTCTGGCTGCTCTCTATGCGGATGAAACCCCAGTCCGCCGAATAAAGAGTAAGCTTGTTTTCTTTCTTCTTTTGCACTCTCCGATTCGTGCCTTTAAATGACGGATGTGGCTCGGCTCTGAAGTTGCCTCGCAGAGATCGAGAAGCGTGACACTCTATCCAACGAAATGTGAATCCTTGGCAGTACGGTGAATATGTCGCCATCCAGGGGAAACGTCTCAAATTGACAAAATCTTTTACCTCAGGCCTAAGCCACTTACGATTGTCTCACAAAGTCAAAGTCCCACTCTTAGTTCGGCAGGAGAAGAACGCCATCCGAAGTTCATCTCTCGATTCAAAGTGTAGGCAAGGTTCTTGAGTCTGGAAGTATCGGGTGTGGTGTCTAGGCTCTCGGTTCTTAAATTGACCGCACGCATTATCAGGGGCAGATAATTAAACCAGTCGTATGGAATGGCAGACTCTATTAAGTGGGTTCCTGCACGATCCGCCATCCCCCGCGTTTTTCAATCTCATGACTCTGCGTTGTTGCCTCTGGCATCGCTGGCAACTCGGGACATTCTGCATTCCAACCTACTGACTGCCTTGTCATTTTCTATTGCGCCTGAAAAAGGCTGATTGACTTCGGGCTGGAGCACAAGATTCCCGAGACCAAATTGTGGAGAGCGGTCCTGACAAGAAAGTGTTGAATTAGTCCGCCTTGGCATGCCAGAACCCCTCATTCGGCAGATACGAGCTCAATCCCAGAGCCGATGCAACCCCATTGCCAGAAGCCGCCATGTTGTAGAAATTGCCAAGGCGAACGTGATTGATCTTGGGGGCCAAGGACCGAACGGGAAATGGCCATGTTCTGTTTCGCGACGGGGTGCATGGTGTGAGCGTCGATCAGGTCCTGGTTTGTGCTCGATATTCAATAGCTTATGATCGCGATTCGGCGGTCGGTAGAAACGAGGCCGGAGGTTACGGCTCCCACCGGCAGCGCTTGATGGCTCCGAAAGAAGCTTATTTGGTCTTCAAGTTCTATATCCTATTCATAGTCGACTGCAGTCGACGCGTAGACAAACATTTTCGTTGCTAACGCTAATGGAGAGTTTTGCCATATCCTTTGCTGCTAAGTTTGATGACAAACAACCGCCTGACAAAACCCAAGAAGGCCCAATATCGCGAAGTAAACCGGTTGAACCATCCAAAGCAAGAGAGCCTGTTGGTGGAACTCAAGGCAGCACTGTAGCTCGATAGGGCAGTAGTTGAGGGTAGTTTACTAGATATGTAGGGGGTGGTTGGAGTAAGGGGGACCTCTCATGTATCCCTGGTCTTATAAGTATTCACAAAAGAATTCTTCAAAAAATGAAAACCCAAGAAGACTCGACCTCAACCAAAACTCTGTGAAGCACTAATCCAGCTCAACATATTGATTTCTTACCCGTAGCGGTTTGACGCCCATCAGAGTTCACCCCATCTTGGTACTTACGAATAGTCACCTTCTACAGATACAATTTGCTACCAAATCTCCGATTAACATTGAAGCTACTCTTGCGCAGTAATAATGACAGGTTGATCAACAAGAACACACAAGCAGGAAGGTATGCTGTCCTAGGAGACCTCCCGATCACTTCTTTTGAGCCGTAATTTGAGCAATGATTCGAAGTTATGCTTGCACCGCCCACGTATTTCCGATACGTGTCAAGTCCGTGACCTGTTCGGATGCGGGCTCTTCAGCGCGACACCATTGTGTCCATGCCGCAAATCATTGGGCTGCATTGCAATTAACCTCTGCGATGACCATGGATCCGCTAGTATATTCCTCAAAAATCAGCTTTTGCAAGATAGAAATGAAGCGCAACATGAACCTTTATTTACAACGCTGGGTCGAAGGGTGCCTCAGATCGTTTGTCTCGGAATCCAGCCTTTGATGTCCATCGAAACAATTCAAACAATCCTGCTTCTATCATTGATCTTCATATCACCATTCAAATCACTTTTCCAGTCGCTACAGCACCAACGCACACCTCAAAAACGCAAAGACGACTTGCCGTTGTGCAAGCATGATCTATACCATCGTGTTTGCTACATCGCTTGGCATTGTCACAACTTTCATCGCCAAAAGGCTTGCCCAAATGGCACACTCACTTGAAACAACGGCTGTCGACTTTCCCTTGGGGAAGAGTCCTGTAGCCACAGTGGGATGGGGCTACTACTGTGAGCCCCCTTTCAAAACTAGGTCAAAGCCGTCATTCACTAACTGGAATACAGATGCTGGATCATCAGAACAGCAGCTTGGTCTGGACCCACGTCTCGTTCTCCAGAACAGAAGGAATCAACAGGTGATGGCCTACCGTCGACGATGTGCTGTCGAAGATGCAAATGCAGACTTCCTCGACAAGTATACCGATATTCAAAAAAAGCCCAGGGAAACCCGCGTAAGGTTTTCGGATACGCCTCAATATCACGAGTTTTTCCAGCTCGAGGAAGAAGACCGCTTACTAGCATGGATTGATGATCTTCATGAGGTGGACGTGGAGCGCAAGGCGACGAACGAAAGCGGTCCCCTGGCAGAGACGCCCAAGGGTATGAAGACTTCGCTTGGGGTGCAGATCAAGCTGTTGAAGAGACCGTCTGATTGTCACCATCTGACTGGTTTTAAGGGAATGTCCGGGTGACCGTGAACTCGTTAGCGATGGGAATGACAGAAGCGGAAGATATGAGCGCAAGGGCACTTGAATTCAAGCGTTGAGCATTCACTTATGGCAAAGTTCTGCGGGGGCTGGGACGGAAGTAGAGTTGCTGACTCGATTCCATCTGAATGAGGCAATTCCCAATTCACTTGACGCGCCCGTCGAGCACGGTGGGAGCGATCAGCCAAATAAAATTACTTAAACGCGTCTTTTCTGTCTCGCGAGCTCAGAGTTTCTCTCAGTTTTCTTTGATCTCTGGAACAATCCAGTTGTTGCTGTCCAAACCACGGTAGCGTTTGTTTGTGCGAACAATCCGTCATTGTCAACCGCGCCAAAACAACGACTTCCAGAAATCAATCCTTCTTTCTCTACCTTGAATCAAAGCCAACCGTTCTACGTCCTTGCATTCCCCGCAAAACCCAAATTTGCGTCATTAAGCCTCCAGCTTCCTGAAATCTTCACCATCTTTCTCCTCTCCACATCTTGCCCTTGCTGCGACGATGGCATGCTACCGCATTTATACACCCACGACACCGCGTCGGTCGTGTCTCAAGAATAAGGCTCTCACGAGTCGAAAGTACTGGGGCACCGAGTCCGGCGGCTTGTTTTGTGTGTCTCTCGCCTCCTTAGCCCCTCCTTCCATTGAACACGCTAACCCTTCGTCCTGCAGATCACGAATCCCGCGAAGCCGAGGAGGGCGTGCCGCGCACAAGATATCTCGAAGACATGCGTAATTGGCAAGTCGCAGAGTACGAGCGACGCGTCACAGCCGAGGATGCAAACAGGAGATACTTCCAGTCATCGCGAAGTCACCCGAGAGAACGCAAGCCCTCTGCGGTGCGATTCTTTGGAGAAACAACGTTCATCTACAACCCTAGAAAATCAATTAGGGAGATCAACATGGCTGGCTACGAGCTTGTCGGAGTGTTCACGTCTCAGATGACGGAAGATGAAGTCATGAAGGCTCGCAGACGCCTCTACAAGCGCCCGGAGGACTTTTGAGACGTCACGCAACAGAGCTGCGGCTGATACATCGTGTATCGCAACTCACATTTCAAAGTGCACTTCTAAGGCGTTTTCAGTGTGGGGTACTTTAGCTCGGGAAGAGGTCATGTGTGCCGACGAAGCCTCGCCCTCCGTTTGGTCGTTGATGTTACACGATATCAACCGGGCGCGGGGACCGCTAGCCTTCTCCGGCAGATACAAAGGTGGCGATCTCGCACAGCCACTCGCCTGTCTTATCCTGCGGCGGCGATACTCCTGGTTTGTGGAACCAGCCTTGCAGTATGTACATAATTATAGTTCTGCCTTAGGAAGTATTACTGGTTGATCATTGGCATCTCCGGCGAATTATCGTGATGTTTTACGTATTGTTGTAAAAACTCACGATATTACCGACAGAGCCTCATTTTACACGTAGACTTTCTGTTAGGCCATTGTGGTGGCGAGCTGGATGGGTCTCGTGGGCTTACACACGTGATAGTTGGGCGTACAACTATCGTGACTGCCATTGGGCCAAGACCTCAACGCCTCATCGTGTGTTTTGCCCTGCGATACACCCACGAATTACACGATGCGGGGTAACGGAGTCGTTTTCGGTGAGTCGAAGGCAGCCCAGCGAGGTCTACAATCATAATTGTTTTAAAGGGTCGTTCTTGTTTCCCATGTATCTGTGTACAGTGTTGCTCATAATATCAAAGTTGGCACCTTTTTGGCCACGACAACAGCACTCTCACAAACTTGCGGAACTTTGAAATTTTTTCATCCAGTAACACATCCATTATCATCTTACCCAACTTGTTTGATGTCTCAATTCACTTAGATGGATCAGTCAAAGAATCTTGAAGGTCACTGCGGCAGTAGTGTGTTGTTTGAATCGATGCACAACAGCAGAACCCTCAGTGTTCAGCACAACCACCCCATCTCGATGCTTCCGAACCTATTGGTATCAAAAGACAGACCAGAAAATAACGACAATCTCTCACTGAGCACGAGCCTGACATTCAGCGGCCTTCCAACTGATATACATCTTTGTATACTAGACTTTCTCCATAAAGTCGACAGCACTTGCTTGGGTTTGACCAATCACCACTTCTATGCGATACACAGAAAGCGACACGGCTCCGTGTCTCTTTCAGCGAGGCAAGGGCGTCGCTTGGCCGACCCAGGTCACATATGTCGAGAAGCGTGTGAGCTTCGTCTACATCTGGAGAGATGGATGCCTCGCGGACTGGAGTACTGTGCTATCTCTGAAAAATACGGCCAACCAGCTTCTACTTTGAGCCAGTCATACTGCTCGAAGCGTTGTCCGAAGAATTCCTCACTGTGCGGAAGGCATCATCCTAGGATATAATTTCTCTAAGACAATCCCTTCTAAAGAGACGCAACGCATTTCGATGACCACTGATATCTTCATAGCGGGTGCCCACTTTAGCAAATCTAAGACGTCGGGGCGTGAGATGGAACACACCAGTGAAGGTCAAGGATCATTGAATATAAGTAGGATTGGGACAGAGAAGGTAAATATCAGCTCCATAAGTCAATCTCTTGATCCAACCCATGTATTAAGTGGGCACATAGAAAGAACTTTATCAAATGCCGTGTCGTACGAGACGCTAACGCACGCGCGTGAAAAAAAGTCGATGAGCAAGATGCTTGCATGGGAGAACCAACAATTGCCAAAAAGCGGGGAAAAAAGAATACGCTTGCCAACCGCTGACGGGAATTGAGCCCGACGTGGGGGTCGAACCCACAACCTTGAGATTAAGAGTCTCACGCTCTACCGATTGAGCTAGCCGGGCGGCTGAAGCGCTGCCATTGGCTGAGCGGTATCGGCTTCGCGGTGCCCAAGTTTGGCTCAGCCGGAAGTTGACCGAGTGATGTTACGATCGACCCGTCTATCAAAAAAAACTCTCCAAAATTGCCTGCGGACAAACTCGATAAGGGTGACTGAAGGCGCCATGCATTGTTCGACGAAGCAGAATCTACGAGTTGGGATGCGGATGCAGCATCTGTTATGCACATGTTGGGCTGCCACAAGGATTTTGAGTTTGTATGTGAGAACGGACGAAAATCAATGGTTTAGGACCAATGCAACCTCCGGCGTCACGAAAGTCTGTTTGGACTGTCTCAATGTTTCCTTTTGCAGTGCTGCTTTTGGTCCTTTGTTGATGGCTGCTGAAACTGACGCAAGAAATGCTCAGGCCGATGAGCTTGTGGGAAATATCCCATTGAAGAGAAGATCCATCCTCATTTGAGTCATTTTCGATTGGTTTCATGCCTTTTGACACATGAATACTTGTAGCGTTTAACAAGAAGCAGACTACATGCCGAATTTGTTTGGTCAGATGCATTATCTATCATGTTGACAAGGCTATGTACCAAAACCCACCCAATCACGAGTTCTTCATTTCTCACTTCTTAGTCCAGATAGGTTTCAGCTTCAGTCAGACACTGTTCAGTCCATTCTCAAAATTCCTTCTGACTCTGTGACTTCCTAAAGGGAACTGGGAAGGGAGTTCAGGGTCTTGTTATCCTTCGCCATTCTTTATTTGCGCTGCCTTCTTCGTTGTCGTCTTTGTCGCCGTCATTTCTACTGCCATTTCATTACCCCTTTTGTTTTATCTCTTTAAGTCTCGAAACGTCTCAACATCATTTCAGTGGAGGCAGTTTTGTCAAGGGATGTAGAATGTTTGACTCTTCGTATAAACTTTGGTAGATGAGGGACTTCGTTCTCATGGTTTCTGCTAACTTCACTACACGACCGCCTTAACAGGCTGGACATGCAAAAAGAAGAAACAAAAGAGAAACCCTACATCACATGGAGATACACTGGTTCAGAGCCATAAGATATCTATATGAGAACGTGAGCTTGAAGTATCAATCTTATGATACTTTACACTACTGTGAGAAGAAGACTCAGACAACTCAGACAGTCATCACTGGCATTTCCTCCCCCGTTCCAAGCTCCGCACCTTGGTCTATATCAGTCACCTATCCCGCCATCGTCTAACTCATACTTGGCTGGTCATCTTCTCAGCGAGCAACTGAGTCTACTGGAAGCAATTACAAAAACACGTCCTCTTGGTCTGCTTCTCTAGTCTACGAAATCCACGCGCTATTCTTTTTGCGACCATTCTGTCAAATGGCCTCCCCTAATGGCTCATGCTCTTTTGAGATGATTCCCTCGTTACCTGAATGGCGCAACAAAACACCTGCCGCGGCCCTCTTAGCACCTAGCCCCGGCGCGACAGACCCTCAAATGGTGGCTTGTTGCTACCCAAACCCAGTTCACATCCACAACAACTGCTCTCAGTGGTGTGAAATACCCCCCCAGTACCTCTTCACCCCGGCAAATCCTATGCTGTCCCAATGGATCTTCAGGGAAATCTGCCTGTTGACCAACGGACAAAATCTGACCGTCCTTCATGAGGGATTTTCCATCATTGATTACAACTTCGATGATCAAGAGATTCAAGAGAGTATGGCCTCGGAGTTCAAGATCTGTGTGCTTGGGGTGTTTCTGGTCTTCCTCGTCGTGTTGTCGATTGTCGGGACGTTTGACCCTATTATTTGAGAGGGGGATCAGTGATGGTATACCACTGGGATTACAGAACAACATCTGGGGTCTAATGTAACAGATGGCCTTACTACAAGTGCTATACGTCCTCCGATTAGAATGCATTACATCTGTTGAAACTCTGATGCATGTCTTCATTCAAATGAGTGGCGTATGCGTATCGTGATTGTTAGTGAATCTTGGTCGGTGACCAAAGGTTTCAGGCATACTAGTGCGCGCTTGATCCTACCAAGTCTTCAACTTGTTTCTCAACGCTCTAGTAGATTGCAATTTAGGCGCCATCAAAGTCGTATTGTTGCTGCGTAGACGGGGTCAATCCTGCCCGTCCAATGCTTTGCTCGGACACAGTTGATTGAACGAGCCTTCCTTTCCTGGGAGTCATTGCAAACACAGCTTGCCATTCTGATAAGGCATGTTACTCCATACTCGCGGAATTCTGCATTGACATGAGTTTCCTTTTCCCACGATATCGGCGCGAATGCATCGAAATATGTGTTAGTCAAGAAGATGTGGTAGAGTCAACCATTTAATGGTAGACTAAGGACCTTATGACAAATAGGAAACATGAGGACCCTTCTTTTCCTTCACCCCAACCCAGGCTAGTCTTCTTGACCACCACATAGTGACTTAGATGAGGGTTTCCGATGGACTCGTCATTCTGGCATCGTTTACATGCTGCGAGCGCTTGACGCGCGCGTAGATGACCGTCGCCTTTCCCTCTCCAGGACAGCGGCGATCAATATCGAACACACCGGTAGCAATGACCAAATCGCTAAGCTTGAGATATCCGAAACTGCGTGGATCGAAATCCGGAAACTGCCTGGTGATGTGTGCGCCAACCTTGGCCAGATTGGCCCATCCCTCATCGTCCGACGCGGCCTCAACCGCCATTCGCAACAGTCTCTCCAGGGGGATGTCACTCTTGACCGTGCTTAAAGAGGCTTCTTGGTCGAGTGGTTCCACAATGGCGGCCCTTTCTTGTGGCACTGCAAGCTGCTCATCGTAGGCAAGGTTCTCGAAGTAGATGAACTTGTCGCATGCTGAAACGAAGGGCTTGGGCGTTTTATGCTCCCCGAAGCCGTATACAACCAGACCGGACTCGCGGATGCGCGCTGCTAGCCGTGTGAAATCGCTGTCGCTGGAAACGAGACAGAAACCATCGAAGCGGTTCGTATAGAGTAGGTCCATAGCATCAATTATCATAGCGGAGTCCGTCGCGTTCTTTCCCTGGGTGTATGCAAATTGCTGAATCGGCTGGATCGACTGTGTGAGGAGCTGGCTTTTCCAGCCCTTGAGGCTGGTGCCGGTCCAGTCACCATAGGCCCGTCGCACAAAGGCGGTGCCATATTTGGCGACTTCAGCGAGCAGAGCGGGGGCCGCAGTAGGCTGGGCATTATCGGCGTCGATGAGGACGGCGAGCTTGGCAGTCGTCTCCATGGTCATTATGTGTTCGGTCGACCCATAAGCAGGAAAGCGACGCCGCTGGAAATAGTCAAGGATACTCGGGTGGACCCTGGTGATGAGGTGTCAGCGGATTACCTCCTCGTAAATCCGACAGCACACGCGACGCCTAAAAAGATCAGCTTTGGGATCACATCAGCTTAGTCAGGTGACATCTGGGAAGGCGAAAGCTTGGCTGGCCAGCTTTACCGTCGCTTTAAGTTCCATCCTGCAGCTCTGTGCGGTTTGCATGCTGCACGTTTACGTGGAAACATATGGCTATACTTGGGAACTTTCTGCGCGACCAGCTTGAGAACAGACGTTGAAAAATGTCAAAGTGCTCTACCTATTCAACTGCACCAGCTGCATAATAATTGAAACAAAACTTCAAACCCCGGCTATTCTGCAAACCGGATCTTCATCACTTGATCTTCTGTGCTTTTGCGTCACACACTCTTCTTCTGAGTTTGGGTGCACATGCGCGTCCAGATGTATCTCAAAATCGGCCAGACCAAGAACCCCGAAAGCAGCCCAAGGATAGAGTCGACGAAGCCAAAGCCCCTCTTGGGCGATGAGCCAACCATATTGCTCCACAGAACCTCCGTGTCGAAGTCACTGACGAGAGCAAAATCCCCCTTCGCCACCCCTCTGACAATGTATTCTGCAACATATTCAGCCGAAAGCATCTTCGTCTTAAGCTTCTCAATAGGGCCATCAGACGACTCAATCCGCTTGGTGAGATCGGGCTTGGTCTTCTGCTCGTCCAGAAACGCATCCGTCATGAAGGTATTCGGGAAAGCGCAGTGCACCTTGTACTGGCAGGTTGCAGTAGAGTAGATGGCGGCTTCTTGGCGGAGGGTGTCAGCGAGTGCCCGTTGGGCACATTTGGGGGCTGTTGATGGTACACATGTGAGTCTGACAATCTCAAGAAGAGATTAACAAATTGAAAGCTCGCGCACCTGCATAAGCAATATAGCCAGGAACATTGCAGAGGGCAGCTGCACTACTAATGAAGATAAGCTGCCGCGTCTTCTGTCCCTCGTTTCCAGAGCTCTTCTTGTCTTCGTGGATCCACAGTTTGAGAAGCGAATGAGCTGGGAAAGCGCTTGTTAGGTAGTTGTTTTGCATGCATTGCTCAAGCTGCTGGCTAGAGAGGTCTGTGAAAAAGCCAAGTTGGGAAACGCAACCCCCAGCGACACAATACAGCGCATCGGGAGTACGAGGTTGCTCCCTGAAGACCTTATCGACCTGCTGGACGCATTAGAAAAGGCATTTGATATCTTTGAAACTTTTTTTATAACTTTCCTGTGCCGCATTCATAAGATCAAGCGCGACGGCATTGATCTCTTGCTTCGGGCTGATAGCGAGCTGCAAGAGCTCCTGTCGGGTTTGTTGCAACACTTGGAGCCTGCGACCAAATATCGTAACGTGAGCGCCTGCAATTCTTATTAGAAAAATACTCGAGTTGTTACGGTATTCCCATACCGCGTGCGACAAGGATCTCGGCGATCGACTTGCCGAGTCCAGTGGATCCTCCCGCGATGAACACAACCTAGGTAACATTGGTCAGAAGTCAGAAAGTCGGCCAAAGAGTCTTGACATACTTTGCCGGTGAAGTTCTGCATGGTGATCTCTGTTGACTTGATGGTGATATGTCAGAAATGGCAGGTTGAAGTAGGGGGTCTTCACCTTAATTTATTGTTGTTGCCCTTTCACGTCCTCTTAGATGCTTAGTGGTGATGGCGGATACCGGGATCCGGTCGCGTCAGCCCCGGCTTTCCGGGAATGGGGCCCGATCCTCCGCGACGATTCCCTGCTTCGGCGGCTGCTTGTCCGGACAGCAATGCAAAATTTGAATGATTGTTCCTTCCGTCTTTTTTTTCGAGGAGTTGGTTCACTTTCTACCAAGTACAGCACCAGGTTCATTCACCAGACTGTACTCTCGCACCGGGCAGATACGACCTGCAACCCACAAAACTTGCAACCCGGCGCTCGCATTCCACTAGAAGTAAGTAAATATACGTCTTATGTGGGTTTGTGAATAGTTCAGTTGCCCAGAAGTCTTCTAAAATAAAACAAATCCAAGGATTTTGGTGAAGTGTTCCGGAGGACGAGTCAGCGACTGCAACACATTTTTCAGCGAGCGCAATGGCCGTAGGTTATCGCAGTGCACCATTCTTATCTGAAGGACTCACAAACTATCACATCCTCAATCGCTCAATCATGTACTGGAGTCAGTTCGCTATGAGAAATTGCCTGGCCACGAAGTCTCGTCCTCAACATACCGTTGATGAATTGCGTTGAGATGGGAACTATCCGCCCCTCAGACTCTAGGATGGCTTAATCTTAGATCAAACTTGCCATGCTTTCTGTAACGATTCGAGAACTGGGTGATTCATTTCACAGCATTGTCAACACCCTAAGAGCGGCCTGAGCCTGTGACACTATAGCCCTCGGTTGAATTTCGTACTCTTCGCATTCCTTATTCGTGAGCAAGGCAAATCACAAGTAATTGCGACCACAATTCGTTTAGGTTGATGAATCTGAATTCCAAACACAAGACGTCCTAACATTCTAAACTGATAAAGTCACCCTCGCGAAAGAGAAAGATGTACTGCGCGTCATTTCAAACCTCACTCGACGGAGTACTGATCAAAGCGAGGAGTCAGGGATGTAATCTTGTACACCTGCTGAGCCGCTGTCGGCAGCGCACCCTCTTTCCCACTCTTCTTGATGTCCAACATTTCCTTGGCCCACTCGCAGATAGCACTAGCAAGTCCAACGACCTGTTCTTCGGTGAGGCTGGCGTGAAATGCGATGCGAACGCGGTTGGTGCCCTTTGGCACTGCAGGGGGGTCAACGGGGAAAGCCCAGAAGCGCAGAAGCTGGAGGTGAATGGAGAGGAAGTAGTTATGACGCGGCTCTGTGAGGACTGCAACGATATGGGAAAGAATGGGCTGTGCTTCCCACTCCTCGGCCAGAGGAATATCAATAATTCCAGCGTCACGGACATCCTTGTAGTGTTGATTGTCAGTGATCGACTTGTAGAAAAGCCGAATGTGTTCCTGAAGTCGCATACGAGACTTTTGTCCGTTAGTCAAGTTGTAACGCTCCGATGGCAAGAGTTTATGAGCACTTACCGGTTCTGTCTTCCCATCTGCGAGGAGTCGGTAAGCTGCTTTGATAGCAGCCAGGGTAGGGAATGATGCGGCTGTGGTGAAGCAGATGGGCCGGGCGTGGTTCACCAACATGGTCCGGATGGTATCGTTGCAGAATACTGCAGCTACGATCAAGAATCAGAATGAGCCTTCGAATGGTGGCTGGAGTTGACTTACCGCCAGAAGCCCCCAACGCTTTAGAAAAGGTATGCAGGCGAATGGCAATCTCTCTCTGGAGGCCTAGTGCCGAAACAAGTCCAACTCCCTTATCACCAACGACTCCAGTGGCGTGCGCTTCATCGACGATGAATTGGAAGTTTCCCTTTGGTAAGACCTCCTTTGCGGCCTCAATCATTTCCTTCAACGGGCACACGTCACCGTCCATGCTGTAGACCGTTTCAACGGCGATGAGTACAACGCGTTGTCCTCGCTGAATCAGTGGCTCGGACTCATGCACCATCTCCAAAACCTCACGGAAAGAGTCGACGCAGTTGTGGCTGAAGGAGACCTTGACCTTAGCCATGCAGCGCGACATACCCTCGTGGGCGCTGGCATGCACGAGCTCGTCGAACACGATCGCATCGCCTGGGCGGGGAATGGATGAGAAGATTGCCGAGTTGCCTTCGAAGCCGGAGTTGACGATGAGAGAACGCTCAGCGCCATGAAAAGCAGCGATTTCGTCCTCGAGATCCTCGAAATAATCGCTGTTGCCGTCTAGGAGACGAGAGCCAGTGCTGCCAACAGTGAAGTTGGGGTACCGATGAAGCTCTTCGAGGAAAGCCTCACGAAGCTGTCCGGATGTAGCGAGAGAGAGAAAGTCGTTTGAAGAAAAGTCAATGTTGTCTTTGCGTTTTCGCAAAGTAATGAGATTATGCTGGCTTCGTCGCATGTCGAGAGCTTCTTCAAGGTTGCGGTAAAAGACGTCCTTCATCTTAGGAGCTCTGAGCTCCTGCGCTTGATTCCATTGCGCAATTTGCCTGAAGACCGACTCGTCTGCTGTGGAGTTCATTGTGTAGACGACTATCTCGAGAAGTGTAAAGTGTACTTCAAAGAGAAATGAGATTGCAATGGCGGATGGTGTTGGCTCCTCGTCTCAACTCTCTGTGAAAGGCTGGCTTTATATGATTGCCAGATGCTGCAGTTTGTTTCTTATCCATGAGCTAGGAAATCAACAGTCTGTGCGTCGGTGCTTGGAATCCGCTCACCGGACTCCGATATCCATGATGGCAATTTTGGGCCGAGTTGTCGGGGTCGCCGTTCTTTCAGTTAGCGCTACGAGCCGTAATCGCTTGGCTGACTGCACCTCTGCCATGCTTGACATTCAGGGCAGAACGTATTGGTGGTGTTATCTCCGCTTGACCTTCATCTCGGCCTTGGCTGAATGAGGGACCGGGTAATCATGACTCTCTTTTCTGCACAGGTAAATCTGTGTGAAACAGCAGAAGCGCGGCAAAGCCTGTTTTCGATAGGATACTGATATGCTCAGGATACGATTCAAAGTGGATCTCATCATAGCTGATTGTTACATGACCTTCGCGAATTCATCCCTGAACAATTTCGTAGCAGTCGCATCGGATCGGGTTAAGGGGCTTTCACCACGACGAATATGGTAAAGTTTCGCTATTCGGGGGAAACAGTTGGCTATCCGGGCGGATAGCGGTAACAAGAGGACACCAAAGATGACAACGAAGGTATAATACATCAAGGTCACGATACGCGCAGAAGATTTTCAGGTTCTGCTGATTTACGATAGCTTTGAGGAATTTGACTATCAAGTGTCTGACTTTGACGCAACCGGGTGACGCTCCGAAACTGGCATGTACGAATGACCAGGCACAACTTCGCAAACCCTAGTTCGCAAAATCATAAACCAAACGAGCAGTAACACTCTTCCCGTTCTTCTCAGTAGTGCTAGACTGAGTCAGGCGTCTCTGAGAATCAACATCCTCCAAAGCCCAGGTGGTCAACGTCGACCAAGCGCCCTTCTTGCTGGTGCTAAACTCCTCAATGACCTCAGTCACCCCAGACTCCCGAAGCCGCCGGCCAAGGTCGCCGCATTGAACCTTGTCAATCGAAACGAATTTGACGTTTGTGACCAGAGCTCCAAAAGCCTGCGTCTTTTGGTCGCGATCCACGCCGTCGAGAACATAGTTATCCTCACTCTTGAAGTTGCCGGGGGTTACTGTCTGTTCCTGATGGATACTGAAGATTGGGTCGTCGCCGGAATCCTCGGATGTCAAGGAATTCTGCGTGATGGAAAGGCTGATTCCGCCACTAGTGAGGACCTTGCGAGTGATCCAGCTCAGACCTTGCTACAGTTGGGTAAACGTTAGAGGGGCTTTCTGACGGACGCGAACATTAGTTGCCTACCATTGCCAAAGTGTCTGACAAATCATCCGAAAGCGATCTGTTCTTTGTATCCTGTTAAAACATAATCGCGGTACCAGTTGAATGGGCGTTATCATACCACAATCCAAGTACCGTTCAAGTTGCGGATTGTCTTGGTTCCGGGAGCTGCCATATTTGTGGGACTTTATGAATCGGAAGACGGGATGACGAATGAGTTGGTTTGTTCAGATGATAAAAGAAATCCGTTACAAGCTGCTCCCGAAATATCTTACGATGGGAATATTTATCAAAACCTGGTGTTCGTACCTGGTGTTCGTGCCGGGAGGATGCATCCCGAATGCAGGCACAATACCCAGTTTACCTCATGGTTTATTGCAGAACGCCTCCGTGGCCGGCTGGGTTGAGCGGCTCGGAGTCCGACAGCCAGAAGGATCAAATCCTAAAATGTTTTACTTACATTTGATCCGCGGCGAGATGACAGCTTACACTTGTTCGCTGTCCGCGTTCCGACGCATTGAACAGCAGTTTCCGGGCCGGACCGGGACCCGGATTCCGGACCCCACTTGGACCGGGGCAGTCCGCTCTCGAATGTTGATCGAAAGATGGCCAGAATGTTTTTTCGTGCCTCGTCGAAAGATTCAATTGTGCAATTGACATTTTAGGCGTCTTTTAAGGGACCAGCAGGCTTGCCTGGAGCAAGAGTATTCTGCATAATGTCCATCATATTCAATTCCTCAACTGAGTACTGACTTAAGTCATCATGGAGTTTGCATCTGTGTCAAAATCCGCAATTCTTCAGGAGCGCAAGATGTCTTGGTTCCAATGGGCACTTCAGCTTCTATTCAGGAAAAAACTAACATATCAGGAGATGCTCAATGGCATCGTCCCCATCCCTGGCCCTCCACGTAAGAACAATTCTAGTAATCTGCCATGATCCGTACTGACAAATTCTAGCCATCCCCCTGATAGGCAGTGTGCTGGATGTCGATATCAATGACACCCTCAAGTCTGTGATAGATCTGATGAGAGATTATGGTATTATTTCCACTCCTGGGACCACGTGTGAGACCAATTTTGAATTGACAAATGACAGGACCCATCATTCAGCTTTATACTGG